AAGCAGAGTTTGAGCTGTGCTTTTAACTACATATTTCGAAAAATTTTAATTTACTTGACAAAGCAGTAACCATGTTTAACATGGCATGTTATTAAGTTGAATTCAAGGTAAGGTAAGGTTCACCTTACTGGTGAACAATTTTTCATATTCTATTAATTATGCCAGCTATTGCATTTATACCAGTTTTATGTTAAATTCGTCACCCTGCAATATCTCGAAAACATATTGACATCGTTTGCTTATCTTGTGTTCAATCAAAAAAACAAAAAAAAGCTTACACCAGTTAGCTTATTAACTATCAGAGTTTGAACTTTTATATGTGATAGCAGCAATTTTTGAATTTTAAACAAAATAATATAAAAAAACAACTGGCCTAAAATATTTATGTATATACTTTTATGCCATTTATTGCATTTATACCAGTTCTATATTCGAAGTAACATGTTCAAGGTCACGAGAAATTGCTGACGTTATATGAAACTTTTTCGTTCAAACAAAGCTTAAAATTTTTTAGATCTCTTAGCTTATTGGCTTAAAGATTTTAAATTTTATATATAGACGCAACAACTGCTGCATTTAACACAAAATAATATGAAATATCTCACGAATTGATGTTTAAATCGTGTTATTATTTTTTATACCAGTTATACCATTTTTTTTTTGTTACCAGATCTAGGGTTTTGAATTTTAAATGTAAATGCGACAACTACTTCAATCAATATAAAAGAATATGAACATATCTCTTGAACTGATATGAAATCTCGGTATTAATGTTTATACCAGTTATACATATTTTATACAAGTTTTTTGTTCGTTTCACAAGCCGTCAGGGTTTCTAAAAATTTTGCTTTTATATGAAACTATTACCTTTCAGTCAAAGCTGTTAATTTTTTATAGAAGTTGGCTCTTTGGCCATCAAAAGTTTTAGTTTTATAGTTATAAGCAAACTATTTCTGAATTTAAAACAAAATAATATCCACATATGTACTTTACCAATATAATATATCAAATTTTGAAAACATATTTTTTATACCAGTTATTGCATTAACATCTGTTGTTTGTTAGATTGGCCATAGTGTATCAAAAAACAAACTATGTTAACTATGTCTTCGCTAAAAAAAACACAAGGATTGCATTTATACCAGTTTTCATTCGATTAAACACTCTTCAAGGTCCGGAAAAAGTAAAAACACTTAAATTTATTTTCGTAAATATATTAAAATTAATGATATTTAATGAAAACTAATACAGTGTTACACCAGTTATTAGCTATTGCCCAATGGCCACTAAATATGCGCTTTTTGATCCAAATTGATTGATTCATATGTAAATATTGTATTCTATTCATATATTATATTTTCGGTCATATAAACGAAGCTAATATTGAGAGATCATTCGATATGAATTCATTATATATTCATCAATAGATTTTCACACGCTCACAGCGCTGGAGAGACAACAGCAGACGTCGTCAGACAGTTTGTTGAACGTTGTCAATATTTGTACGAGTATGTTTATAAGCTATTATAATTTGTAAGTCATTCGTAGAGTGACACAATTTTAGTGATTGTCAGTAGTTTTATTACTCAGATCATAAACGATAGATATTGTTAGATGGACTACAGAAATATTTATGGAAATTTTGTAAACGAAGTGATTTTTGAAGACTAAAAAATAAATATCTATATGAAAATTTTGCTAATGCATACATATATATATTTGTACATACATTTATATAAAGATATACTTATAAATATTAGTTTGTAAAAAAAAGTCTTGCGGTATTTTCGCTAGTTGGCGCTGAGAGCGCGTAGTTCTAGTTTTATTCGTCGCATCGGGTCATGCTATACCTTTTTGGAAAGCTCATTTCACGCGCTAACACGTGTTTGAGTGATTGTCGTTTCTTTTAAGTCGTTCGCGAGTTATAGCGTCGCAAACATGAAGCAAAATAAAGAGAAAATACGGCATATTTTACAGTACTACTAAAATAAAGGCAAAAATACATCTCAAGCCGCCAATAAAATTTGTGCAGTTTATGGACCGGATACAGTTTCCATTTTCACCGCACAACAATGGCTTCAACATTTTCGTTCTGGTGTAGAGGTGGTCGAAGATGCGCCACGCTCTGGAAGACCTGTCGTCGAAAATTGCGACAAAATCGCTGAATTGGTCGAAAGAGACCGGCATAGTAGCAGCCGTAGCATCGGTCAAGAGCTGCGCATGAGTCATCAAACCGTTATAAAATAAAAAAAAAAAAATTAAATAAAAATAAAAATACCGCAAGACTTTTTTGACAAACTATTATATGTATATATTCCACATTTGATGTCCTAAAATGAACTTCAATCCGAAATTCATGGGAAATACAAGAATTATATTGCCAAATGTACACAGTTGGCGCTTAAAGATTCAAAGAAACCATTGAAGTTTAGCGGCAAATAAAAAAATTTGCTAAAACATAAGAAAGTATCAAAAAAAAAAATTTATTTTGCCAGGAAAGTGTTACTTACATAAAACTTTTGTACATATTTACAAAATTACTACATATGAAAGCATGTAGCAACGCCATGTCATTGTACTTATTCCTAGGAAATCAAAAACTTACAGTCACAACAAAAAAGCCACCAATTGGGGAGTACTTCTTGGAATTTGCCGAGTGTTGTGCGGAGTTTGTCTGCGCGCCACAGTGTTTTTTGGAAAATGGCCAAATGTGGACATAATCCCAACTGAAATACATAACTACAAACGAACGTGTGTGTTAACATCAATATCTGTGTGCATGTATCGAAATGTTCTGTGTCTGTGGGGCGCGTTGATTTCAAATGAGCCACAAAGAAAGCGCCAAATGGCAACAAATGTCGAAGCGGTTGGTTGTATATGCTTATATATACCTGATGGGTACAAATGTAGCTTCCTATATGTATATAAATATTTATATGCATATACATACATATGTATGTATATTCATACGTATCCATATCCGATCGGTACTGGCTATATATTTTGTTGGTGTTCTTTGAAGCAAAAGCAATTGCAATTTGCCATTTGATGGACTCACACATGCATACTCGTATCTATATACATACATTAGAGTAGGTCGATTTTTTTTCTATGAAATCCGGTGTAAGGGAATTGTTCTACGGATAATTTTGAACCACTTTTTCTAAGAGACTATGGGTTAAAATCGATTTTGAGCCAGCGATTTTAGGGTGAGCAAATATTATTATATCTTTTGTGTTGTGGACCACCCTAGTATTCATAAATATTTAACCTATATTTATTATATTATCACAAATGTTAACTTCATAATTTTTTTTGAAATTTTAAATTTTATGGTGCACCCTAGTATACATAAATATTTAACCGTTATTTACTATTTTCGGTCAGCTAAAATGTTAATATTAATATTTTTTGAAGTTTGTTACTTTTAAGTATCACCCTAGTATACATAAATATTTAACCGTAATTTAATATTTTCGGTCAACAAAAATGTTAGTTTTGAAGTTATTTGTAATTTTTAAGGATCACCCTAGTATGCATAATAACCGTTATTTACTATATTAGGACATACACATTTTCAATTTGAAACTTATTTGAAATTCGAAAATTTTAAGGACCACCCTAGTATGCATAAATATATAGCCGTTATTCACTATATTAGGTAAGGTAGGTATGTTAATTTAAAGGTTTTTGAAATTTGAGAGCTTGAAGGATCACCCTAATATACATAAGTCTTTTTATAAGCTTACAGATATTCATATTTTCCAACAATAATCATTAACCTCGCAAATATTATGCCGTGTGTGTCGCCATTTTTCACATTATTGTTTGGCGTACAAGCACAAAAACACACACACGCATACCGGCTTTTACGAAATTGGCATGAGCGCTGTCATTTCCTAGCGCTAAATGCCTCTGCTGCTCTACAACGCATAATTTACCTACTCCTTAATGCCTTTCCGCATATAGCCGACCGTGCCTGTTTGCTGCTGCAACGCGCGGCTGTTCGGGCAAGCAATGCAAAATCACAGTTTTTAAGCCTACAAATGTATATTATACAAATGTGTGTGTTTTACGTGCATGTATTCGCGCAAATGTGTTTGTATTTGTGGAGTAGGCAATTTTAAAATGTGCAAACAGTGCGCTCGTTCAAAATGATAAATGACACACATTCGACAGCACATCCGACTGCACAGCATTGTATTTGTAGACACTGCCCTGGTGAACGCTTCCGCTCCCGCTATTCTGCGCTCGTGTGTAAATATCGATATGTATACATATCGATAAATACATATACATATGTATATGACACTGCAATCAAATAATGTTGCCTTAATGTCTGCTGCCCACAGCGCTGGCCTGTCATGTCGCCACGGCGGCCTATTCAACTCAGAGCGCCGCTTGTTCGCCCACGTCTCATTTCCTGTGCTCTTTGGAATAGTAATCGTATGCAAATAATCATTACATTGGCTTAAACGTCTCACATAGTTCGGTTGTTGGGTCGAAAGATACAACACTGATTGCTCTAGTCGCACTTTGTCGTAAGCAGTCTGTGGTCTTTAGAACTTGTTATCGGCTATGAGCTATGTGGGTGATATATTATATATTTTATGATTTTTTCTTAGGAACTTACGGGAAAAAAGTGCCGCGATGGTCCGTTTTACCTTGTGTTTATACAGCCGAGAGCTGTCCTTACATCGATCTTAATCTGTTCCGAATGGTGTGTAACAAATCAACTTTGTCTTTCTTGGAACAAAACCTAGTAGCAGGGTTGCTTTATATACTCTTCAAACAGGTCCCAAAAGTGCTTCACTGCTGTATCTGTTAATGAGCCAAATGCGCACAGAGTTTGAACACTTCGATCAATTGACTGTAACAGCACTAAGCGCAAGTTCCTGTAGAATACTCAGACAGCTAAATCAATGCCAACACAAGAGCTAACTTTTTAAATATTTACCAAAAATAATACTAATGAAATTCCTTCTCTCCCTTACTTGCAGACGCACCATCGTAATTCGAATGACGAACGTGTACCACACCCGCATGAGGGCAGCCAATCTGGCCACTTCAACCACCACAATGGTCTGCAACACTCTGGCTCGCGCTCTACACTGCGACATTCAATGTCTACGACAGCCGCGAATTCCACACCCGCTTCACCACAACTAAGTGGTATTGGTGGCGCGGTTTCAGGCACTGGCAATGGTGTTGGCGTTGTCAATCAATTACTCTCCAATGGCCAGCATTATCAGTCACAATCATCGGTATCGTCACAGACTTCACAATCGTCGATTGTGTCCACCATACCTGCCTCACAACGTCTGCTGGAGGATGCGCTCGCCAAAAACGCACCATATCCGATGATTATTTTACCATTGAACGGCGGCTACTGGGTGGATGGCACCGAGCACGAGTGTTCATTTGATGCGCGCGGCAATCCGATGTTGCCGCAAACAACTTGGATGGCCAAATTCGAGACAGACGACACGGCAAAGTGTTATCGTCGTTTCTATGCGGCGCGCGAACATTCGAATCTTGTGGGTCAAGATGATGTACTTGGACCGATATTGATTTCCATCAAAACGGAGAATGTAGCAAATCAAGAACATGCACGCATACTGTTGCGCCTGCGTACCGGTACAATGCATGAACTAATACCGATGTCGTGTATGGCACCCAATCCGACACCCGGTAAAATTGTGCGCCTGTTGAATGAACAAATTACGGTGGAGAATTTTGTACCGGTTTTATGTTCGAAGGCATCACAATTGATTGCCGCCTATGATGAGCATGTATTGGTTTCGAATTTTAAATTCGGTGTGCTTTACCAAAGATATGGACAAACCACGGAGGAGGAACTCTTTAGCAACAACAATTCATCGCCCGCATTTGAGGAATTCCTAGATGTTTTAGGTCAGCGTATAAAATTGAAGGATCACAAGGGCTATCGCGGTGGTTTGGATATACAAAATGGACACACCGGCGACACCGCCATATATGAGGTGTTCAAGGAACGCGAAATCATGTTTCACGTCTCGACAATGTTACCCTACACCGAGGGCGATCCACAACAGCTGCAGCGCAAGCGACATATCGGCAATGATATTGTCGCGATCGTATTCCAGGAATCGAATACACCATTCTCACCCGACATGATAGCCAGTCACTTTCTACATGCTTTTATCGTAGTACAACCGCTAGAACCAAATACGCCGAATACACGCTACAAAGTTAGTGTGACAGCACGTGACGATGTACCGTTCTTCGGACCGACACTACCCAATCCAGCTGTCTTTCGCAAAGGTCAAGACTTCAAAGAGTTTATACTGACCAAACTGATCAATGCTGAGAATGCCTGCTATAAGGCAGAGAAATTCGCGCAATTAGAATTGCGTACGCGCACCTCGCTTCTGCAAAGCCTTGTTGAGGAATTGAAGGAGAAAACGCGCGACTTCTTGGGTACGGACTTCACGAATGGCGTGACTATCAGCCCAACACCAGAAACACCAAAGTCCGAGAACAGCACAGCCGGTTCGCGTTTCATCGACACGGTCAAGAAAGCGCTAATTTCGCGCGTGCGCTCACAAAGCGTTGATACCGGCAATATGGCGCCAAGCGTTGAGAAGTTCAGCGTCTCAACGAAGATGAACTCATCCGCTTCATCGACGACTTCCAAGAAGGATAACAGTCTAACGGAGACACCGAATTTGAATGTAAGTCTTGCATGGTGTGATTTTTATAAGAAATAAAAAGCTAATTTATATTTGTCGCACTCTCTAACTAACTAGGCCTGCAGCCGCACCGCTTCGAAATCTTCCTCGAAATCAAAATCGTCGAATGACTCCACCTCTTCATCGCCGGATATCACCTCACGCGGCCCGCTCAGCAGCAGCAACACCATCAACAACAATAATGCAAATCTGGGCGGTGCTGCCACCACCAAAGACATGCAGAATGGCAATAATGCCTCAGCACCAGTCAACGGTGGCGCCGGCGTTGCCACCATGTCCGAAACTAGCGATGACTCTAGCTTGAATAGCGTAGATCTCGATCCGATGATGGGTCACATAGATGGCGGCGCTGTGTACATCGACAGCGATACCGGACTGGAATCGATGTCCTCCGCCGAAGCCATGTCGTCGACGAAGGCGGCTTGTGCGCTATGTCTGGATGGCTCACAAAGCTTAATGGGCTCATCGCCGAGTAACGAAACAATTGCGATGGTGGAGAATTTGCGTCAGGAGGTCACACGACTCAAATGCGACAAGCTGGATCTGCTGCGACAGAATGTGGTAAGTGGCATGTGTATTTTGGCAAGAAAACAGTTTAGTAAAATGTATGTTTGTTCTTCTCCAACCGCAGACATGTCAGCGCGATATCAAACGTTTGCGTGAGCGCGAATTGTCGCTGCAGGGCGATTTAGCTGCGGCCGGCAAGGAGATATTACGTTTACGCGACCTGCTGAAAGAGTATATGCCCGATTCCGCCACAGCGCCACTATCCATATCACCAATCTAATGGAGCACATTTGCTGTGCGCTAGTGTGTGTGTGTTTAGCTGTGTCGGTGTGTGTGTGTGTGTGTAGTTATTGTAAGCGTGTATTTGCTAAGCAAATGCCGTTATAATATGGTGCAAGCAAACGAAATGCATGGGAATCCTTTTGTGCCGTGTCAAACACTCGTGCGTGGGAGTTGAGGAGCCGAAGAGCTTGGCTCTTGAAAAAAGAAAAACCATAAAACTAACTGTATTATATGTATGTGGTAAAAGATGACAGAAGTTGGCCGTAAGCAGTTGATTGCGAGACGCAAACGAAATGGGTTAATTCAACACAAACACAAAAAGTTACACCAAAAATTTTATTTAAGTATATTTAAAGCAAAAATACGAATAATATTAAATAACAGCTGTATTTAAAAGTAGGAAAATGTATGCAGAAACTAAAAAAAAATCTCATGAACACTTAAGCATTATAGTATATAAAACACACATATAGATATTTATATGTATATGTTGCACGAAGTAGCCAAGTTGTAGCTTGCAAGTTGCGTTGTTGTGTGTAGTGGCATATGCGTTGCATGTGCTCGCTAAAACTGACCGTTAGTTAATGCGCCAAAGCAGTTCGTTAATTTTAGGCACGTTTTGCGCTGCAAACGAAATTCTTTAGATGTATTGCGAACAAAAAAAAAAAAAGAAAAAAGAAAAACAAAAAAAAACTTTACGATTTATTCTTTGGTCAATTAATGCTATGAAATAATTATTATATTAATTTTTTAAATGTAATTTTT